TGTCGCGTCTCATCCGCCGACGTCGACGTCGTCAGTGTCGCGAAAGAAGGCAGGGGGAGAGAGAGAGGGGGGGGGGGCGGCGGAAGAAGAGGAGAAAATAACCTGACTTCAAACTTTTTGCCGCCGTACGCCAGATCTCCTCCTAATTCCATCTGACATAGCTACTTTATTTTTTGTCTTCCTTTTTCTTTTTCTTTTCGCGTTCCCTTGCGCCTCTGGGAACATTTTTATACTACGAGCGATCAGGTCTGACTGACGTGTAACGAGTTGAGAATATAGTCAACCTTGAATTAGAAGCTACGAAACCGACGATATCGCTTCTGGCTCGAAATTCGAAACCTGACAGTTTGTATTTAATGATACAGGCGATTCTATGAAAAGAAACGCCGCACTCGCTGTTGCGAATTTTATTCGAGCGTATCAGCCGGCTACGAATATGGTCTCGGCGTATGAACTATGACGCAACGTTCCCACTCGTGTTATTTCGAGCCATTGCAATCTCTGACATTTCTATGGGCCCGGTCGTGGCACGATTAGATAAACGTCACACGTGCACGAACACAAACAACTTAATAACAATTCTGGTAACGCTTCATCGTGCGTCGACGAGTACATTCTGCCATACGGAGAGAGAGACAAAGAGAGAGAGAGAGAGAGAGAGAGAGAGAGAGAGAGAGAGAGAGAGCGTGTCTCTCTCTCTGCCTTCTTCATTCAGCTATTATTATTGCATATACGGACGCAGCATGACGTACTATTAAAATTCGCAACTGGGATTCCACAGTATTAAGGCATGTGCTCAATCTGCGAAATAAAGTCCCGTGGCTGATCAGTGTTCGCTATCTCCAATACACTGCGGTGTGTTTACGATCATTGGTGACACGTGGCTCTGTCATCTCGTTAATTTTTAGAACTCCAGAGAAACACAAGGCGGACGAGCCAAGCCGCGTTTCGATTGGCGGCGATGGTTGCGATGGTCGCGGTCGCGCTTTGTAAACGAGTTAGTCGAAATTGGCTCTGGGCGCTTCTGTGCCGCCGTTGGCAAAGTTAGTGACCGGCAACTCGGTGCGTGGGAGTATTGCTGCGAGATAGGTATACATATGTACATGCTCGTTAGTCGCTGTATAAACGTAGAGCTATAGAAAGCAGCCTTAAAGTTAATAAAATGGCTGCTGGCAGGACTCGGAAGTTCGCTACTCCAAAGGACGGGCCAAGGTTAGATAATACTCCCCCACCTGTATCCTTTTTATTATTTTGCGACTCCGCTCTCTGTCTCCTTCTCTCTCTGTTTCTCTGTTCGGCTCCCGGTTCTGGCTCCACTTCTCTCTCTCTCTCTCTCTCTCTCTCTCTCTCTCTCTCTCTCTCTCTCTCTCTCTTTGTCTCTCTCTCCGTATGGCAGAATGTACTCGTCGACGCACGATGAAGCGTTACCAGAATTGTTATTAAGTTGTTTGTGTTCGTGCACGTGTGACGTTTATCTAATCGTGCCACGACCGGGCCCATAGAAATGTCAGAGATTGCAATGGCTCGAAATAACACGAGTCTTCCCTCGCTGTCTAATAATAATGCAGGAGTGTGCAAAAACCGGTTTCGCGAATTTACATTCGACTATAAAATATTTTTTACACCCTTTTCCCCGCGCATGTCCTCCTCTCCCGCCACATTCTCGTTGAATCTTTTTTTCTCTTTTTTCTTTTTCTTCGACCTGGCCAACTTGCGTGTTTGGCATTTCGCCCCTGAAAACATCGTATTCATCGATCCAACGGGCACTTTGCCGTTGCTATTTCCGATTTGCGCAATAGAAAAAAAGACGAGAAGGGATTTCGAGGGGGGTGGGGGGGGGGGGTGG